TTGCATTTTCAGTAATCATTTCTGCATCTTGTAACTCAAGCAAAAAATCCCACCCTAAAATATCTTTGAGGGGCAGAACATGGATTATCACTTTGATACACATTTCTTTACCTCCAATCAGATTATTTTCCTTCCTTCTTTCCTTCCTTCTTTTCAAAAGTCCTTCTTTTATTTAATTTACGCTGAAATTTTTATCACTATTTTCTCTTCGTAAAAATTCTTTCCAATTCTTCCCGTCTTTGCGCCAAAATTTCCTTCCCTTGTTTTCTTCTTTATTTTTCTTATCTTCATATTTTGTTTCTTTAATTCTTTATTTGATTCATTTTTATTTTATTTTATAATATTTTTCTTTATACTTTTCTTCCCATTTTCCTTTCCAACTATATTCTATAATTTTTATTTCTTTATTTATTTTCTTAAAACTCTGCTAGGCCGACAAATTTATTTTGCTTTTGCGCCATCAACAAAATCCGTGCAAATTCTGCAGTTCTCGAGCAAAGTATTATTATTATTATTATTATTATTATTATTATTATTATTATTATTATTCTCTTCCTCCTTCTTCTCTTTCTTCTACTCCTCTTTTTTATTCTTCTCCTTCTTCTTCTCTTCCTACTTCTTATTTATTCTCCACCTATCTTTTTATTTCTCTTTGTTTTTTTTTCAGTTTTTTCTCACACACCTCTGCCACCTTTTTTTCCTCCTCCTCCTCCTCATACTTCTACAACTATTACTACTACTACTACTACTACTACTACCTCCTTCTTCTTCTTCTTCTTCTTCTTCTTCTTCCTACACCTCCTAATTGCTTCTTCTTACTACTTCTTCTTCTACTCGTACTCCTCATTTTATTCTCCTCCTCATACTTCTTCTTCTTCAACTTTCTCGTCATTTTTTCTTCTCCTTCTCCTTCTCCTACTACTCTTTCTTCTTCTTCTTCTTCTTCTTCTTCTTCTTCTTCTTCTTCTTCTTCTTCTTCTTCTTCTTCTTTTTACCGTGTCCTTCAGAACATGGACGATCATAGCTCTCCACAAACTTCCGACATGGCCATAATAAGCCTTTTTCCTTTTGCTAAGATTCTCGCTCCACTTCCCGCCATTAATTAACACAGTCACGTCAGCTATGTTTTTTGCCTTCCACATCTCTTTTGCCTTCAATATAACCTGTGGGGGTTAAATTTTTTATCATGTACCCAAGAAATTTCAGCTGTTTCATTCTGAGTGTTTTTTTGTCAAAAACTTCCACGTTGCATGTTCGCTCTCTCTATGGAATTCTCCGTATTCTGTAGAACGACATTTCACTAGTTTCCTCTTATATGATACAGCAATTCAGCTTTTTTTTCTTTGTTTCTAACAATTTTTTTTTTCTGTTACTTACTACATTCTTTAGTGTTTGAAATGCTTTCTTTTACTAATCAGATGCGCATTCGAATGTCGGTGACATATTTGACATCCTCTTTTAAAACACTTTAAATTTCTGTGGTTGTTGTTGATTTCTCCAGTTCGAACTTCGATTTGTCTTTGTTTTTCTACCTGCAAATCATAATTACATAATAATACTTACGCTATATTATACTGACTGTTGTCCACATCTATATTAACATTATTCAAGGACACATGGCACAGTGGATAAAGTCGTTAGTTAGATCCAGTGACAGGACCCAAAGAGTGTAACTTCAATACTCGGCTAAGGCAGTCGAGAACTTTCAGAAGGGAAAATTAACAGGAGATAACTGATAACTGACATCCATTAAACATGGCACGTAGAACTAGAACAGTCTACCTCAGTAAGCGTAGTAAAGGGTTCAGTTCGACATTCCAACCACCTGAAGAACGCTGGAGTGTACAACGGCCGAAACGTTGTAATAAATATGGCGACAAAGATGAGGATAATAGTCCGAATAATTTAAATAATGTACACAATACCTCATCTCAGAAATGTAGACAGGTCCTCATCTTTGTTGCCATATGAGCAAAAACTATCTGGAAAGGGCATGGCATGTGGAACTAGAACAATCTACACCGGTGGACGAAGTAAACAGTTCAGTTCAAAATTCTAATCACCTGGAGAAGGCCCGAGCATACAACGGCTGAAACGTCGTGCATATGGCAACAAAGATGAGAACAAGTGTCAGAACAATGTAAATAGCGTAAATAATTACAATACCTCATCTCAGAAATACAGACAGATCCTGAAGAAGGCCGGAGCTTACAACAGTTGAAACGTCAGGAATATGGCAACCAAGATGAGAACAGCAGTCCGAACAATGTAAATAGCATAAATAATTAAAATACCTAATCTCAGAAATATAGTCAATAATTAATACTAGCAGGCAGATCCAACGTAAGATATCATTTGAGTGCCACCAATTATTCTTCATTTTATTAGACAAACACTTCTTGAACAGGATGCGTGTAGGAGGTCTATTTTGAAACTGAAATTAATTTACTCTGACCTGTATTTACTCCCCAATTACAGGGGTCAGAAAATACCGGAGAGAATTGGAAGAATGAAAAATGAGATGGTTTGGCACGCTAATGGAATCAACAGATAGATTCCCCTTTACTTATTTAGAGAGTAAGCACAGCTGAGTCCAACATTGATGCATGCACGTACACTATTTTGGCACTGTAACAAAACAGATGTAATGAAAAATTAAAATATACATGTTTCAATTTTCATGCAAAAAAGAATTCATCCGTTTACAATTTAATGATTTTTATACTAATAAACTAAAAGGTCCCTGTACTATTTAAATAGTAGGGCAGACTGAGCCGGCTAGTGTGAGCGGGTTTAATAAAAAGAGAACAGGCTGAAATACCCGTATATAATAATAATAATAATAATAATGATGATGATGATACTCCTACTACCAATAATAATGATGATAATACTACTACTACTAATAATAATGATGATGATGATGATGATGATGATAAAAATAATAATATTACTAGTAATAATAATGATAATAATAATGATAATAATAATAATAATGATGATGATAATAATAATGATAATAATAATAATAATGATAATGATGACGATGATGATAATAATAATAATAATATTAATAATACGGGAAGGAAACTGAAAGAAACTGGTATGAACACTACCCAGACCCGGTTACGGAGATAGGACCTGTTACAATTCTATGGGACTACACAATACACACTGACAGAACAATCAAAGGCAACCGGCCAGATATTGTTATTAAAGACCACAAACAAAAAAAAAAGTGCCTCTTATTGATATGGCAGTCCCTGCTGACTGCAATGTATCTTTGAAGATATTCAAAAAGTTGTCAAATTACAAGGACCTTGAAATAGAAACCTCAAAAATGTGGCACATGGGAACATCAACAATCCCTGTCGTTGTTGGAGCCTTGGGACTGGTTGGAAAAGATTGCAGTAGACTAATTGAAGGGATTCCTGGAAGCCCATGCCTTAAAGTGATACAAAAAATTGTTCTGACAAGTACAGCCCACACTTTACGAAAGGCTTTATCTCTGTAATTTTTTTTTTTTTTTTTTTTGTGTCAGTGGAAAGTGTCATGATGCCATTTCTAACGTTAGGTCCCTGGGGGGACCCGGAAAGAAATGTGTAAACGCCAGAAATCAAAGAAAATAAATAAATAAATAAATAAATAAATAATAATAATAATAATAATGATAATAATAATAATAATAATGATGAAGTGCCTGCCATCGAAGGTGCCCTTGAAATGATAAAAAAAGGAACGCAACACATTGAGAAATCTCTGGAAATCCCAACTTAAGAGAAATACAAAATATTGTCTTGATAAGAACTTTGACTATGTAACGCTAATGAGGTTAAGGATGTTGAAAAAAGAAATCATGAAATGTAGACATAACAACGCACCCCTACCTAACTTAGGTCTTCCCACGTTCTTGGTAGGTAGAGTGACCATAGCAGATATCGAAATATAATGATGATGATAATAATTATTATTGATCTGTGTCAGAGAACAGAAAATAAGAAACTTTATTCAGTAATAAAGGAAGGCAACAAATTCAAAATGGAATTTCAAGTAGGTGAAAAGTGCAAATAAACCATAATGCGTCTACTGCAGCAGCGGCAAAGAACTTAAAAAAAGGAAGCAAAAGCAAATGCAATATACCAAATGCAGAAACGATGGCAAAATGAAACTCTTCGTGGTTAATACTCTACCTGTACCAAACAAACTGATGCCGATAAACCACGGACACATTAGTTATTACGTATTGCAGTGTTAAGAGCTGAAACGGGAGGTTTTATTCTTGCTGCACACGACAAATGCTTGTTAACTAGAAATTACCAAGCAAACATACTGAAAAATTGTGTTGACACCAAACGCAGATTCTGTGATAAATATGCAGAAAGAAATGAACATCTTGTATCAGGTTTCTCAGTGTTATCGCCCACTGAATATAAAACTCTGCATAACAGAGTGGGCCAATATCGGCACTGAAAAATATGGAAAAGGAATCTGCAAGGAACTGGTATGAACACCACCCAGACCCGGTTACAGACATAGGACCCGTGACGATTTTATGCGACTTTACAATACACACAGTACAATCAAAGCTAATCGTCCAGACAACGTGATCAAGGATTATACCAACATCAGACAAGTAGATCAAGGTAAATATCTGAGAAATATTTTAGAAGATGTCACAAAGTGAGCATTTGGATAGCGGAAGGTACCTTCCAAAAGCTAAGCAAAGTATCAGTGGATGTTGGACAATCACCTCACAGATGAAAAAGAGACTTGAAGCAAAAGAAATGTGGTTCTGCAGAAGGATAGTGATTTTTTGCCGATTTTACAAGTAGAACATAGATGGCCAAGGCAATGATATACTGTTCTTAATATAAGTGACAAAAGGCAATAATCATTCCAAATATCTTCCTTAGATTTAGCCAACATGGCTGATGACAGCGTCAGAAAACGTTCTGAGTAAATGTAGCTTGAAGGTTTGGGTTCACGAATTAGGACAGACGATGTTCGGTCAGCCGACTGTCAGTTCGTCTGAATGTACGACCCACTGGCGGCTCAATAGCATAAAACACACCCACACTGTCGTTACTACCATCATCTGTTCGAATACAAGCAATACAACGAACCCTGCATGTTGTTAGATATCCGATGATATTGGTTTCACTTTCACTTTTACATTCACTCCTTCGTTAGTCAGAGCAAAGTTTTCTCGCTTCTTCCTTCACCATTCCCAACGATCAGGCCTTCTTTTGCGTTCTTGCGCCCCATCTCTCTATTCGGCAACTTTCAGCCGAGCTGTGATACAACTCGGTCGATTCGAAATTATTGCCCAGCAAAGATCGCCCCGGGCGCAAAATGTATTCATTTTCTACTTTCACTTTCGCCGCCATCGTCACCTCTTGTACTTCTCTTTCAACACAGGCGCAAGCCACGACCAACTCGATTTAATTTTACCTTCATTTTCTCTTCTTTGATTTCTACAGCGATTCGTCCATCTTGTTTCGTCCATTCATTCCTCCACTTCTCCTTCTCGCCATCTTAATTTCAAACCCTGCTTTCCCGATTCTCCATTTCTATTCCTCATTTTCTTTGAGTCTTATTCTATGTCTTTTTCTGTCTTTAGGCTTCTTTTTTCATGGGTTATCGGAAGCATGTCTTTCCTCCTATTCTCTCTTTCTTATCTACTTTTAAACTTTCAGTCGTTTTAACGAGATCTTTAGTGCAACGACATAAGCATCGGAGTTATCATCTAAGTCATTCTAGTTCATGTTTGAGTTTTTTTATTCTGATCTTGGTCATTTGTTTTCGTCGAATTTTTTTCCTTCTCTTTTCTTTCGTCTGTGTTTCATGTTTTACTGCCCTCTCTCTTTATCTCTTATACTCTTTCTCCATCTTTCGTTCGCGTTTTACCCGTGTGTTTTTTTATTTCGTTTTGTTCTGTATTTTCTCTTTCATTTTCTCTTGTTTTCTTTTTTTCTTTCATTTTCTCTCTTTTTTTTTTTCCGTTTTTCACTCTGTTATCTATCCTCTTATTCTCTCTTTAGGTTCTTTTCGCTTTGTTCTCTTTCTCTTGTTTTTCTTTTTTTCGTTTTTTCTCTTCTCTCTCTCTCTCTCTCTCTCTTCTCTCTCTCTCTTTCTCTTTCTGTCTGTCTATCTCTCATTCTGTTTTCTTTTTGTTTTTATTTTCTTTTTTTCCTTTGTTTTTTCCTTTTCTCTTTCATTCTCTCTTGTTTTTCTTTTATCCGTGTTTTTTTTTCTTTCATTCTCTCTTGTTTTTCTTTTATCCGTGTTTCACACTTTAGCCCTCTCTCGCCTCTCTCTCTTTCTTTCCTTCTCACTCTCTTTCTTTCTCTCTGTCTATCTCCATTCTCTCATTCGCCTTTCGTTTGTTTTTATTTTAGGTTCTTTTGTTTTTCTTTTATCCGTGTTTTCTTTAGCCCTCTTTTTCTCTTTCTTTTCTTTTTCTTCATTTTGCTCTTTTCTCGTTTGTTCTCGACTCATTCTTTATATTCTTTTCTTTTTTCTTCTTTCCCTCGACCCTATATTCTTTTTCACACCTCATTCATTCACGTTTGTTTTTTGTATTCTTTTATTCGATTTTGTTATTTAATTTTCTTTCATTTCGTCGCTTTCCCTTCGTCTATGTTTCACGCTTTCCTTTTTCAACACATTCTCTCTCGATTATTCTTGTTTCTTCCTTACTTTCTTTTATTCAGTTTTGTTCTTTATTCTTTCTTTCGCTTTCTTATTGCTCCCCCTTTTGTTTCTTATGCAGTCAACCCTTTACCTCTTCCTTCTCAAATCTCTCTCTCTCTCTTTCCCCACTCTCATTCTTTCAATATCTTTGTTTGGGTTCTAATCTTTGCCTCATTCTTCTCAAGTCTCTCTCTCACTCTTTCTCTCTATCTATCTCTCTCCCCAACTCTCTCTCTCTCTCTCTCTCTTCACTCTGATTTTTTCATTATATTTCGTTTGGATTCCATACTTTGTCTCTTCCTTTTCAACTCTTTCTCTCTCTCTCCCACTCTCTCTCACTCTCTCTGCAATTTCATTCTTTCATTATTATTCGTTTGGGTTCCACGCTTTACCTCTTTCTTCCCAACTCTCTTTTCTCTCTCTCTTTATATATATATATATATATATATATATATATATATATATATATATATATATATATATTCAGTTTTGCTTTATTTTTATTGATTTCCTATATTGATTTCATTCTCCGCTTTAGTTCGACCTCATTATCTATTTTTTCATTCTCAATGTCTATCTTTCTCTATTTATTTCCTTAGGGGCCTCCTTATTTTTTTCTGATTTTCTCTACATTTATTATTTTCTTCCTTTTCCTATTCCTTTCCCCATAAGCATATTCATGATTATCCCATTTTACATTGTGTTCATGACTTTATCCAATACCTCAGGATTCTCTCTGGTTTCCATTTTATTTTCATCTTTCACCATGTTTCTCTGGCGTTTCCTTGCGTTTCTTCATAACTATCATTTCATAAACCCCATTTTTTTTTTGTCTTTTCCTGCAAATATTTCCCTTTCTCGAACAGCATATCCACGCGTCGGTTTCCCATCATCTTTGACCTTTTCTCTCTTTTATATCCAATAATTTTTAGGAGTTCAACTCGCACAGCTCAAATCTAAAGCTGTATAAGCACACAGATTTGTTTCCCACGAGCACAGGTACGAATGCACGCACACACACACACACATTTTTATCTAGAGATTTCCGTTTCTGTTATACCGTTTCAATACCACATCTTGATAGTCTTAAACTAGGCGCACATTGACGAACTCTCAAAACACAATGCTTTCACATTTTCCTTCACGCTTTCATATGAAAAACTGAGAAAATTTCATTTTCTCTTGTCACTTATGTATCTCTTTCCAACCCATGCGCCTTGCAACGGCAGAAATGGAAAACAGACTGTGATAAGGGCTTTTAGATTACGCTGAAGGGGTTCGCATGTATGTTTATGGAGATGGTCTGGGACATATTAAAACATCTTTCCTTATCAATTCTATAGACATTTTTTTTCCTTCTTTTCTTTCACCCAAGGTCTCTTTATTTAGTTCTCTCTCTTTCACACAGACACACAGAGACAGAGATAGAGAGAGACATACATATACACACACATACACACACACAGAGACACACACACTCTTTCTCTCACTCTCCTCTTTCTCTCTCTCTCTCTCTTTTAATCTTTTATAACTTTCTTTCACGCTATCATCATTTCTATCAGACTCTCTTAGTTGAACTGTCTCATATTCATTCTACTGGAGTCTCTCTCTCTCTCTCTCTCTCTCTCTCTCTCTCTCTCTCTCTCTCTCTCTCTTTCTTAGTAGATTTTCATTTTTTTCCCTGGCAGTCATCCTTTTACCTTCTGTCTCGCTATTTCTTCAATTTTACTGTCTACTTCTTTATTTTTCTCCCTTTTTCGGTCATTTCTTCTTTAACAATCTCTCTAGATTTGTTCATCTTTTTTCATCACTATCGATCCTTTTTTCTATAATACTCTATATTTCTCACTCAATAACTTTTCTCTCTAGGTATATATATATATATATATATATATATATATATATATATATATATATATATATATATATGTTTTAGTCTTTTTTTTTTTTTCAAGTAATCACTTTCTACTGTCTCTCGAGATGTATTTCGTCTTTTTTTAGCCAAAATGTTTATCCTCTCCACCTCTAGATTTTCAAACATACATTTTCTTTTTCTCCCCAGTTTTAATCATTCTCTATTTTTTGTATAGACTCTCTCTTTTATTCCTTATTTTTCTTTTTATCTTCTCTCTCTCTCTCTTTTTCTCTTTATTCTTTACGTTATTTCCCATTATTTTTCCGTTATCACCTTTCTTTTAAAGTGCTACTCATATTTCTCCCCAACCTCACCGTTTCTCTTTCTCGCTTCTTCTTTATTTTCTTCCCCACCACTTTCCTTCTCCTCAGCCCAATCCATCAACACATAACTCCCGCTCCCGCTCAGCCCTTTCTTTCTTTCTTTCTTTCTTTCTTTCTTTCTTTTCTTTTCTTTTATTATTCTAATATTTTTCTCTGTTTCTTTCTCCTCTTTATTCTAATCGACCACCTGCGTACCCTCCACAAATTCTCATCACAAACTCCCACCTCAGATCGAAGATCAGCCTGCCAAATGAAATATCATTTCAGGCTAAGTTTACCTTCCCACCATTTGTGCAGACATTTCTTTCTGTTGAGCACCCATAAATTTTTATTAAAAAAAAAAAAACTCTTACCCGTATTCATTTCTCTGTTATTCACACGCATCACATCATGTATTTTGCGTTTCACGTATTATTATTTACAAACCAAATACGTTACAACTAAAAATTGATTTTATTTTAATAATAATAATAATAATAATAATAATAATAATAATAATAATAATGTTAGACACATTATTTCCCCTTGCGTAAAAAAGCAGGCTGATTTTGAAAGCTTGGTATTACAATGAATTTTAAAATTGGGGTTTAACATGATAAACTGTGACACAAAATATCTTTTTCCAAGCCACAACTGTTTTGTGAAGGAAAGAGTTTAAAACATTAAGTTTAGTTTCAAAATCGTAGCTTCGGGATTTCATTCCGTTCTTCAGTGAAAGTCATAGAAGCACGGCCTTATAAAATTTATAATATAGCGAAGATTTGCATGACACAAACACATTATCATTAAATCTTTTTACAATAATATAAGAGCTTCATTTACTTCAAAGGGACATTATACTGAACACTTTAGCTATATGAGGATGTTGTAAGTTATAAAGTGCAGTAGCTTCAGTGCGATTTTTAATAAACAATGCAAATTTAAACATTGTCTCTAATAATTTGTGTCCATCAGAATTATAGTGTTATATATATGTTTATATTTTTTTTATAATTATGATCTAACGAATGATCTAACATATCTTATTCATCGATAAGACTTTTTTGTAATCTTTTACAATTGTTTACAC